GAGCTGTGGGTGTCTGGAGAACACTCACGCTTCATGCCTGCCTGTTTATTCCCTCCCCATCCTCTGTGGCCAGAGGTTTTTGGGGGGCTAGGGCACAGTCCTGGTCCCCAGGTAGGGTGACTAACATTTGTTTGGGACTTTCAGCTATTAGCACTAAAAATCCTGTGTCCTGGGAACCCCCCTGAGTCTCAGGCAAACCTGCTCTGGTCACCTGCCCCAGGCCCCAGGCAGGCCTGGCGTGTATCTTCCCTCCCAGAGCCCTCCTCACCACCTGTCACCTCTCTGCTGGCCAAGGGTCCCTTGGGAGAGAGCCAAGGCTGAGTCTCTACTGTCACCCCGGAGGCCTCTGTACTAATAAGAACCATTATGTTTATTGAGCACCTACTATGAGCCAGGCTCTGGGCCTAGGGTTTTCTTCTTGAGCACCTACTGTATGCCAGGCACTCTTCTAGGCCCTGGGGGGACAGCAGGGAACACACCAGACAAAACCATTGTGCTCATGGAGCTGCCCACTCAGTGAGGGGAGACAGAAAAGAAACAAGATAAATAAATACATGAGGTGAATTTATTAGGAGAGAATGAATGTTATGGGGAAAAGTAAAACAAGGAAGGAGCCATTTAAAGTAGGCTGCTGGGGGCTTCCCTGGTGGCGCAGTGGTTGAGAGTCCGCCTGCCGATGCAGGGGACGCGGGTTCATGCCCCGGTCCGGGAGGATCCCACATGCCATGGAGCAGCTGGGCCCGTGAGCCATGGCCGCTGAGCCTGCGCATCCGGAGCCTGCGCTCCGCAACAGGAGAGGCCACAGCGGTGAGAGGCCTGCGTACCACAAAAGCAAAATGAGGTGACAGATGTTACAAATAAACGGAAAAGACAAAACCTCAGAAAACAACTAAATAAAATGGTAAAAGCAATCTGCCTGATAGAGTTTAAGGTAATGATTATAAAAACACTGATCTTGGGAGAAGAATGGATGAATACAGTGAGAACATCATCAACAAGTTAGAAAACATTAAAAAAAATCAATCAGAGCTGAAGAATCAATAACTAAAATTTTAAAATACACTAGAGAGAATCAACAGTAGATTAGATAATACCAAAAGACACATCAGCAATGTGGAAGACAGAGTAGTGGAAATCAAACAGGCTGAACAGAAAAAAAAAAAAAAATTAAAAAAAAAAAAATAGGCTGCTGGGGAGAATTCCCTAGAGGTCCAGTGGTTATGACTCCACACTTGCACTGCTGAGGACTTGAGTTCAATTCCTGATCAGGGAACTAAGATCCCACAAGCCGAGCGGCATGGCCAAAATAAAAATAATAATAAAAATAAAATAAAATAGGCTGCTGGGGAAGGCCTCACTGAGATGGTGACATGAGGAGGGACCTGAATGATGAGGTGCCCTGCAGGTATCCTGGGAAGTGCTCCAGCCAAGAGGGGACAGCACACACATATGCTGGAGCAGGACATGCCTAGCACTGAGAGGACCAGAGGAGGAGGAAAGCCCAGCTCTGCCCTGGCTGGCTTTCTTGTCTCCGGGAAGTGGCCTGTGCTTGGGTGTGGCACGAAGAGACAGTGCTGAGTGGCCTGAGGCGTCAGTCGCTCTGTGAGCACAGCTGGCCTGGCCTGAGGCTGTTATCCAGCCAGCAGAATCATCCCATTAGCTTAGAGAGGAGCATCTGGCAAGGCTGGGGCGGCAGGTGGGCCGGGAGCCGAGCCCAGGGCAGGGGGAGGGCAGGCTGCAGAGGCAGAAGGACTGACCACATGGCTGACCAGTCTCCAAGCTTCAGAGAGCCCCACGGAGCTGCCTGGGGGCTCCTGGGGATGCCAACCCATCGGGCTGTCCCTGCACAGGCGTAGGGAGGGGCAGGCACCAGACTCAGGTCTGGGTGAGGCCCAAGACCTTGAAGCCGGGGAGGACTGACCAGCCCTCAGATGAGGCTGCGCCACCTGCCCTGCTCACCAGCTGTGTGGCCTTGGTCGGCCACTCCCCTCTGTGATTCATTTCCTTCTCTGAAATGGTGCGGCACCCGTGGGGTGTCATGAGGATCCCATGTAAAGAACCTGGTACTCAGGGCAGGTGGGTCCTGTTTGGTTAGCTCTCTTCCTGCTTCGGGGGGCGGGGAAGATACAGGACCCCTGCCATGCTGGCCGTCTGGCCTGGGACAGGAGCAGGGGCCCTGTCAGTGCTGGTCCCAGTAGGGAGCTGTCTGGCCTCCCCAGCCCTGGATGCCCCTCACCCAGCCGAGCTGTAGTTACAGCATCTTAGGGAGCTCTGGTTACTTAGAGGCTGAGAGAGGGCCTGCCACCTGCTTCCCCACCTCAATACCTTTGCACATGCTGTGCCCTCTGCCTGGAATGCCCTTTTCACACATCCTACCAGGTCCAGCCCCTATCTTATGAATGGGCTGCTGAGTGGACTGGGTGAGGGGCCCGCCCATGCACAGGCTACTCACCCCGGCCCCCACAGGTCCCTGCTCAGCAGATGAGGGGTTTGGGGGTTTGTAGGAAGGAGGACATGAAAACAGTACCGGCTCTCTTTTCCTGCACATCCTTTGTGCTGGCAGGGGAGCAAGAGGACTTTGTGGAGGAGGTGGCACAAGGCAGCAGGTGCCTTCCCCATGCACACGCCTAGATGCCTGCTCTGGGCCTGGCACCTGCTGGACTGCCTGGTATTGAGACCCCCATCTGCTAGTCCACGAGGACCTGCCAAGTTCATCCCAGGTCCCTCCCCACCCCGGCACTCAGGATACTCCAGGACTCTGGCAGCAAGTGTTGAATGGAGGAGGGAATGAATGAGCCTGCAGAGATGTGTGTGAGCTCATGTGTGGGAGGCCAGGAGGTCTGGGAGCCGCTGGGCAGACAGGTGGATGCCCCTGGAGGAGTCGGGGGAGCAGGGGGAGGAGGGGGTGGCAGAGGAGAACCTGAGAAGTCCAGAGTTTGAGTCCCTACCTTGCTTTCTTCAGCCCCCATCAGGCAGAGCAACCCCCTTGCCCTCCCAGAAGGGGGCAAGGAGGCTGATGAGAGGAAGTGCAAGGCTCCTCCATGGAGACTTTTATTCCTGCTAACTTGCAATCTTAAAATGCACAGCAAAGGCACCGATGTCATTGTTAGTACATTAATCAGCAATCAGCAGGTCGGGGCTCCCATGGGCAACACAGAGGGGGCACGGGGGGCACAGGAGGAGCCGTGGCATTACAGTGCAGAGCCTGCCTGGGAAGAAACGGGCAGGGTGATGATCCATGGCCAGGGCACCCGCTGGCTCAGGCAGGGGTGCCAGAGGCAGGTGGGATTGGCTGGGAGAGCTGGTCCAGGGCCAGCCTTGAAGATGGGACCAGCTTCCAGAGTGGAGAAGCAGACTCGGGTGAGACCCACCCCAGTGCCCAGTGGGAGCGGGCAGGGGTACCTGCAAGGGCAGTTCCCCTGGCCCAGGTCCCCTGGCATCTGGATGGTACTGGAGGATGGAGAGCAGCTCTGAGCATCGGCTGGGGTCCCTGCCTCCTCCTGGGCCCCTCTCAGAAGAACAAGGGCACAGTGGCTCCTGTCCTGGGTGCCACCTTTACACCACCCGCCCCCGCCCCCGATATCTGACCCCTCCCACCTGCCAAAGTGTGTTCATACGCCAGCAGCTAACCCCACGCCTGGATTTTTGTACAGTTGTGGCTCTTTTACCCAAACCATGGTCTTCGCCTGTTTTCCCCTGTGCCCCAGAACCCCTGGGGGCACCTGCCTGAGGGAGGGGTGTGGCTCTTTGTGGAGCCCCTCCCACCCCCACCCCGCCTCTACTGGGGACCCTTCAGAGAATCCCCGCCCCCACCCGGGGCCTTACAGAGATGAGCCACAGCAGCAGGCAGATGGGCTGTCTGCACCACCCCAGGTCAGGGGGCAGAAAAAGTCCTGCAGCCCCCACCAGGCAGGGTAGTTCTGCAGATCAGAGGGGTGAGAGCAGAAGCGCTTTGTAAACTCTATAAGCCGCACAGATGTCGACGGTGTTAGCGCTGAGCCTGCCACGTGAGCGGCTCTCCCTGCTTGACTTAAGGGAAGGGAATGCCCTGTCTTTGCAGGACCCCAGGGGGTGGGGTCTGCTGTGGCCCTGTGGTTCCCACGAATGGCCCCAGCCCTGTCCCCTTCAGCACAGTGAGCACCCTGAACACTCTTGAGCTAGGAAGGGCACCCTGGGCTCCCTCAGAGTGGCAGGCTGGGGGCACCTCCCTGGGGCAGCCTGGGCAGGGCTGAGGAGCAGAGCAGAGCTGAGCGAGCAGACAGGGAGGGGCAGGCTCTGAATGGGCAGCCGCTGTGCGCTGGGCCCGCCTCCCAGCCTGGGTGTTGGAGGCTCAAGGCAGTGGGCAGGCTCCCCGAGAGTCAGCTGGGGTTTGGGGCCCAGGCTCCTAGAGGGTCCTCACTGTCCTGTCTCCTCCTGCGGGCCCGGGGCCCCCTGGCCAGACCTAGGAGAGCAGTGGCGGACTGGAGGTCAGACTCCACGCGGGGAGCGCTGGCATAGTGACCATCTCCGACTCTTGTTACACAGGGGGAAACTGAGGCTGAGGAGGCCCCCGCCCGGGGCCTGGCCTGCAGACTGTCCGATGGTTTCAGTGACTGAAGCAGGGCAGGGGCCACACAGAGCGTGGCCCAGCCCAGAAAGGGACCTCACAGCTGCTCTGTCACCGCCACCACTGCCCAGGTCATAACTGCTCTGAAATCGCAACCAAACACAATTATGCAAAAACCGAATCATGTGCGATGATTTTTATGTGTTGGAAACGTTCGGTCAAAGCCAGGTGATTACAGGGGGACGGGAAGCAGCTGTTACTCTCTGGGAGCCCGTAACTCCCAACAGCTGGGAGCTGTCACGTTTTTATGATGCCGTTTCTGTGAGGAAAGAGGGAGTGGCAGTCGTGGTGAGGTCCACCTGAGCCCAGGCAGACGGCTGGGGTGGCGGCCGGCCTGAGGCTGGGAGCGGGGCTGGCCCGAGAGTGGCCAGGAGGGCTGGTTCTCTCGTTCAACATGCTCCAGGCACAGCTGGCAGCAGGAAGAATCAGCCGAACTGCCTCAGGCCCTCGGCTCTCCCCAGAGGCCTGGCTGGCCAAGCTAAAAGGGAAGGATCGGGAGGCCAACCCGGGCAGAGACGAGATGGCTGCCCGGCCCTGCAGGGTGGGGGTCTACAGGCCTGGAGCCCATCCCCCCAACACTGGCACACCTGCCAGACTGCCTGGGGCAGCTGCAACCCTGGAGAAAGGCAGGTAATGATGATCATGCATAATGAGGCTGCTCCGATAATGAGCACGGGGGCTATTATCCAACCACGGGCTGGACACATCGAAAATAAATTATTTTAAGGATCCATTAACAAATGCGTAATTAATGCGCAATTAGAGGGAAGCTACAGAGGAAATGCTTGGGACAATCGCTAGGCAGGGCCTGATTGGCAGCCACAGCCTGGGATCTCCAGCGAGGCAGGGAGAGGGGAGGGCCCAGAAGGCAGACCCCAGTGGGGGGCAGCCTCATTCTGGCTGCTCCCTGGACCCCAGAACCATCAGCCCTGGTGCCTCCCCCAGTCCATCACACACACACACACACACACACACACACACACACACACCTCCTTTGTGAGGGACAACAATTACTATTTAGAAATGGGGAAACTGAGGCACAGGGGGTAGTGCATACATGAGGACATGGAAGGCACTGTAAATGAGAAATCTTTCAAGATAAACTTTGGTGTCATGCATGCATGCTTTGTTATTGAGAATAATTTAAATAAAAAGACTCTTCAGGAGTCCATATGAGATATTTACTTTGTTAGAACAGGACTTTGCACCACTATCTGTTCAGGCAGATCAAAGCAAGTAAGTGGCAGAGCTTGGACAGGAACCCGAAGCTAGCTGCTGTGTCCATGGGTTGTGACCCCAATCCTACCAGGGCTGACAGAGCCTAAGTGGGTGGGGCTCAGATGCTATGGGCGGGGCTAGGGGATGCTGGGTGGGGCTAAGGAAGTATGCCGGGTGCCGGGGGGGGGGGGGGGGGGGCGGCCCCCCCCGGGGGTGATCAGAGCCTCTACCCCAACCCATCTCATAGCCCAGGCTGTGATAGAACCCCCAGTAGAGGTGGGGCACCAGGGCGTGGGGAGCCATCAAGAGCCAGGACCTCGGGGGGCTATGACCCCAGACCGCTGAGCGCAGCAAAGACGAGGACAGAGCCCCAGCGGCCTAGGAGGGTCACGTGCCCATCGAGCCCGGCACCCAGAGTGTCTCCCACCTCCTGGGCAGCCCCTGACCTGGCTGTGCTCTCTCTCCCGCCAGGGTGCTGTGTGGAACTGCTGCTGCTGCTGCTGGCCGGGGAGCTGCCCCTGGGCGGCGGCTGCCCGCGGGACTGCGTGTGCTACCCCGCACCCATGACGGTCAGCTGCCAGGCGCACAACTTTGCCGCCATCCCCGAGGGCATCCCCGAGGACAGCGAGCGCGTCTTCCTGCAGAACAACCGCATCACCCTCCTCCAGCAGGGCCACTTCAGCCCCTCCATGGTCACCCTGTGGATCTACTCCAACAACATCACCTTCATCGACCCCAACACCTTCCAGGGCTTCGTGCACCTGGAGGAGCTGGACCTCGGCGACAACCGGCAGCTGCGGACGCTGGCGCCCGAGACCTTCCAGGGCCTGGTAAAGCTCCATGCCCTCTACCTCTATAAGTGTGGGCTCAGCGCCCTGCCGGCCGGCATCTTTGGCGGCCTGCACAGCCTGCAGTACCTCTACCTGCAGGACAACCACATCGAGTACCTCCAGGATGACATCTTTGTGGACCTGGTCAACCTCAGCCACTTGTTTCTCCACGGCAACAAGCTGTGGAGCCTAGGCCAGGACACCTTCCGGGGCCTGGTGAACCTGGACCGGCTGCTGCTGCACGAGAACCAGCTGCAGTGGGTCCATCACAAGGCTTTCCACGACCTCCGCAGGCTGACCACCCTCTTCCTCTTCAACAACAGTCTTTCCGAGCTGCCGGGCGACTGCCTGGCACCCCTGGGCGCCCTGGAGTTCCTCCGCCTCAACGGGAACGCCTGGGACTGTGGCTGCCGGGCGCGCTCCCTGTGGGAATGGCTGCAAAGGTTCCGTGGCTCCAGCTCCGCTGTCCCTTGCGTGTCCCCCGAGCCTCTGCATGGCCAGGACCTGAAGCTGCTGAGGGCCGAGGACTTCCGGAACTGCACGGGGCCGGCGTCCCCGCACCAGATCAAGTCGCACACGCTCACCACCACCGACAGGGCCGCCCGCAAGGAACACCACCCACCCCGTGGCCCCGCCAGGGACAAGGACCACCCGCACGGCCATCTGCCCGGCTCTCGGTCGGGCTACAAGAAGCCGGGCAAGAACTGCACCAGCCACAGGAATCGCAACCAGGTCTCGAAGGCGGGCACCCGGAAGCAGGCCCACGAGCTACAGGACTATGCCCCTGACTACCAGCACAAGTTCAGCTTTGACATCATGCCCACCGCACGGCCCAAGAGGAAGGGCAAGTGTGCCCGCAGGACCCCCATCCGTGCCCCCAGCGGGGTGCAGCAGGCCTCCTTGGGCAGTTCCCCGAGGGCCTCACTCCTGGCCTGGATACTGGGGCTGGTGGTCACTCTTCGCTGAGGACGCAGGGCACCAGCACCCAGCACTGCCACATGTCCACCAAGGAACAGGATTTCTTTTCTTTTTTTACAGATGGAGGATCTGCTGGGTTTCAGGCAAAGGCTGGTAGAGGCTTCAGCCGCTGTCTGGGCCCTGCCCGGTGGATTATAAACCCAAAGTGTACAGCCCCAAGCGGGAGGGGATTAGTTCATCCCACCCAGCTGTCCCAGCCAGCCCCCGGCCGAGCACCTATGGACAGCATCCACCCAGCAAGGCAGTTAAAGCCGCAGAGCGAATCCTTCATTAGCAACGATGGGACAGTGCCCCACGGGAGCTGGGCTCTGTGGAATCCTGGTCATTTGGAGAGGTCTGAAGGGCCCCTGCCGCTTCTGGAGGAAGCAGGACTCAGAGAACAGACAAGGGTCACCAAAGAAGCTGGGTCCACCAGCTATCTGGGAGCACACGAGCAGGTGGCATTTTGGCTCTTGCCTGAGGCCACTTAGTCACCCTGCCCTGAATCCAACCATGTGCCACCTTCAGTCCCTCCCTCGGGGGTAACGCCTCTCATTCCTGATGTCTCAGGCAACCCTGGCAGACCCAGGCCCAGCTGCTGGGCTCCAAGAACCAATTACCAAAGGAAAGATCATCAGAGGCTGAGATTTAGAACTTCATCGTGTGCAATGAGGTTCTCACAGGAGGTGCAGTTTTATAACTATGTCCACTTTATATATATACACACACACACACACACCCTCTACGTATATATACACACACAAATGCACAGGCCCTCGCCCTACTCCCTTACCAAACTGTATGTCTTATCATGTTTATAAACTATACAGAAAACTATATCTGCTGAACTAAGGATTGTATTGGTGATTTCTAGCAAGAAAGGAGTTCTAGGATTTTTGTCTAGAATCCCAACCTGGTAACAGTAGTCCCCATGTAACCTGGGCTTGCCAGGGCCTGGGGCAAAGGGGCAGTGGGTGGGGGGGTGTTGTCAGGGAGAAGGGGAGGCAGCAAGAATCACTTCAGGGGACCAATAGTCTTAGATACTTGGAGCATCACCATGTTTTTATATGCAGCACAGGCCCGTCTGCCACGCCGGAGCACCCAATCACTCCCAACATAGCAGCTGTTGGCATCAGGGTGAGAAGCCAGAAGCAGCTTGTTGGATATCGGGGGGCTAGGTCCTGGGGATGGGCTGGAATTAGAAGGGGAAGGAAGGGGCTTTGGGTTTCTTAGGCCGGCAGGCGAGGCAGTATCCACAGTGTTAGTCCAGCAGGCTGGGCAGTGTTGTCAACCTAGTGTTTTGCCAGCCACAGTCTGGACGGGCCAGGGATGCTCTGGGCATGAGCCCAGGCCTCCAGCGCGGCTCAGCTGCTGAATTTTTCCTTGAGGCTCTTTGATGGGCATCCCAGCAAGGGTCCTGTGTTGGGTGGCAGGAGGGAAAGCATCAGGTGGCCTTAGCAGAAGAGGAACAAAGAGGGCATTTCAAGAACCATCTCAGGCACTTCTGCATTACGGAGGCCCCGTCCCTCCTGGACCCTCTGAAGTTGCCCCGGGGACGGGCAGAGGTCAGGGGGTGGCCAGACTCAGGGGTCAGGAGTGGGGACGTGCAGGGAATGGAGCACGCAAGCTCAGCCAGGGGAGAGGAGCTCAAGTCAAAGTCAGCCATGCTGCCGGCTGGTGTCCGTGCGGGCACAATCCTTTTTGGCTTTGCACAAACCCAAATTCCCTACCAGAGAGAATGTGTGTCAGGAGCGAGAAACACTGAATCCAATTAAGAGAGAAAAATAATAATAAAAAAAATTCTCTTGGATAAGAACCCTGTTTCTCATTTCCCAACCCCGAATTCCTGAAGGCGTGGCAGATCCTGGGCTTTTATGGGGTGGGCGAGCCTGGCTGGGTGCAGCTCTGAGGACACAAGCAACGTTTGTTGGTGGGAGGAGCTGTTTGGAGCAGGGGCACACTGACTCACTGGGACACGTGTGTGTGCGCGAACACACACACACACACACACACACACACACACACACACACACACACACACACACACACACA